ATGAAATATTGCTTGTTTGTTTGTTTGTATGTTGAGCACCCAGAGTGAGGCGGGGTCTCCTATAAGCAGGTGGTGACTACCTCCTTGAACAACGTGCGAGAGGTCCGTTGCATGCCATCCAGATTGATTAGGGAAGAGTGTGTTAGCCAAGGTACAACCACATCAGCACGGACCAGTCCGTGTCTCAGCTTCCTGATAAACACAAACAGGTTAAGATCGCTGAATGAACTGTAATTATTTAGAAACAACAATAAATCAATCAATCATTTGATCTTTTATCAGTCGGTCGTTATCGATCTCTCCATTAATTTGGCTTGCTTCAATCAAGTTAGCTGAGTTCAGTGCCGAAATAAAGTTATGGTAAATCAAGAGTAATGAAAAACAGGCCGCTGGGAAATATTCAGCACGGATATTTACGTTCTGTTTCTCACGACTTTTTGTTCCAAGTATACATTCGTCATATGGTAATTTAAATATTGTTCATGGTATCGTTCTCACAGATATAACAATTGTGTGTAGATATAACACCTTGCGTGACGATGGAGTGATAATTATATAAAATCGAACCAGGTCATATTTTGTGACAATTAGAAAACCTCGACTTTTCCATGTCACTGAGCAATTGAATCAAGGAAATATGCTTTTATTATTTAAGAACTTTAGTCTGAAACATTGCGATAAAAAGCCGTGAATAGATTCATTTCCCAGTAGTGAACATGAATCGTTATGTATCATGGTCACGCGAAGAGTAAAGCACAGGGACACGTGGATCGGCATGGCTGAAATCAATTAGGTCTTGTTTGGTATGAACACTCATTTCTTAAAAACTTTAAAGCAAGCCTGTAAAATCCATCAAAGCAGTCGTTTATGTTAAACATGCAATTTGAAAAAAACTTTTGAATTTCTGTAAAAATAGCTAAAACACCACTATCTCTCCAGTAGGACCGGCGCTAACTTAATACACACAGAAGCTTGTGTTGGAGATTTTGATACTCAAACACTCTCCAATGTAAAACATGTACAAAAGACATATTTGATTACAAGATTTTTTTTTTTTTTTTCCTCATTTTCAAAATTTAATGTTCATCTTTATGTCCTAATAAAATCCATGAAAACAAATCGAATTCGCACGTCCCTGTGTACACCCCAATTAAAAACATGTATCTGAGTAATAAATAACATATTGCACAACCAGCGGAAAATTTAACCTGTTGTTAGTATAACACAAATCTCTTAACACGTAATTGAAAATTAAAATATCGCTCTAAGCTTGAAACCTTTATGTCTGAAATCTAGTTAGTGTTCATACAAGGACTTACGACCCGAACGCACGACAGCTTTGAGCGTTTTGAATGCTGACCCATATTTCAGTTTTCATTGTGTAAAATTAATTTGTTTTCTTTAATTTGCTGGTGGGATATTTGATGAGTGGAATTCCTGACATGGTTACCAGCAGTTAAATATGTATTCACATTGTCTATTGTAAAAAGACGGCCAGCAAACAAAAAACTTTTATAACATTTCTCCATAATTATATCGATGACAATCAATAAAGTATTTCTGTTCTATTGGGACGGTATAATTATGACAGCTATGTGGAATCATTTCAATTGCTGACAGTTCTAATTGTGGATTTCAGAGCTAAAAAGATAACCATGCATTAAAAGCGAAATTGATGAGTTCGAGAAACGCCGAAGGTAACATTTTTGCACGTCCCTGAACAAAAAGTGTTGGCTGTCGGAACGGTTTACACTAATCCTAAACCAATAGCTGTCGTTGTTCTGGCATCGTGTGAGGTCACAATAAACTCATTATCTTTGTTCAAGTGATAAAGTATACGAAAAAATGCTTTTCCCAATTTATAAAAAGAGTTAATCAAAACGATTGTTAAGATGGTTGTGTATTTAGCAAAGGATTTTAGTCGTGTTCCAAACATTCCACAGTAAATTAGGGGGAGGGATTAAATTCGAGTTCAAACTCCTGGTTCTGTTTTCAAAACAAACAATTTACACGTTATTGTGTTGTAACCAGAAGAAATTCCCTTTAAAATATAAAATAACAACATACATGTATGTCTACCTAGGTAAACAAGCAGCTTAGTTCTTAAAGGTGTTAGTTCTTAGTAACGATAGTCACAATGCAGTGCAATTAACCATACCATGATTAGACTGTCCTTCGACCAAAAAATGCTCAGATACTAAGAAGTTTCTTAGCTTGATAAGAAGTGTGAAGTTTACAGATTAGTCACAAGGGTTTAGCTTTAAAATGTGAATGGAAACGAAACAAGGGCGGGAAAAACAGCTCAACGACAAATTCTTCCCTAATAGGTGTAAAATTTTCATAATATTGAATGAAACGAAAGTCAATCGCTTGTTGAATAAGGAAAACATCTGTTTCTTATGAAAACATTCAAAATCTAAAATAACCAAAGCGACGACGATCCGCGGGATTTAACGAAAACCCGGATAATCTGCGCATTAATCAATTGTTTACAGGTGAAATTTGTTTGTTTCTTGACCAACAACAACAACACCAACAACAAGACTAGACGTGTGTATAATTAAAGCTTTAATGAAAATGGAATATAATACCTTTCTGATGTGGACCCAAGGCTACAAATTTTGAAAGTAGAATAGTTATATAAAATGTACTCGTTAAGTAGATAAAATGGCTAATTTATGACTAGTATGAAAAAAAGAGGTCCCAACATTATAGACACAATAGATAAATTTTCAATTGTGATGACGTCATCACGTGAATTGTTACCGTGTTGTAAAATCAAGTTATTTTGTCAGGAACGTGACTTACTAATTAAGTTTTGTATATTTAATACAGTAAAAAATTGTACTTAATCGATTCAAATTTCCCATGTTATACAGTATTTACTGGTTCTATTCACACGTTTTCTCCCCAAAGACACGCCTAATTGAAAACTTACAATCATTTCATAAATATCACATGAACTTCCTAGACCCACTGGTCTGTCAGAAAGAATCACATATACACATGGTCCAGTACGCGTTACACTTGTGCAGGTGCAAAACTTTAATCTATTCACAGGAATGTAATAGTTTTACTCGTAACAGAGATACGTGTTTGTTGGTATTACTGTCACTTACCTTGGTACAATCACATTAATGTTTTTGATAGAAATAACAAAAACAAAATAATGAAAAAAATTGTTTGTATGCATATTGAATTGAAAGGTCATAGCAGTGTATAAGTGATACATATAAGTTTTCACAGACACATTTTTGTCACTATCCAGTCCGGTGTCGTTTCTCTTATTTAAGTTTCACTTGACTTGGCTATTGTTTGGTTTACCTTGACTTATAGGTTATATTAATTGTTACTTTACGCCACAGTTACCTCTTTTTACTGCTGTTAGTACACTGAACTATGTTGTTTGGTCATGACGTCGGAATAAAGTCAGTTGACAATGTTACAATATTTTTCTGCCGCTGGAAACTCTAACCCGATGTGATATATTTCCGTTAAAAATAGAACATTTCTCTGCTTATCATTGAAAAAGGTGTACGGATTAATTAGGAAAAGACCCGAGACAATTATGTAACTACTTTTAAATATCAATGGTCTCTATGTAGGTCAATATTTACTTTTGAATATTCAAACTGAAGATAAACCAACATTGCCTCATGTCCTTGTCAAAAATGTGTTCGTTCCTAGTCGGCACCGCTTACTTTAAATATCAGCCATTGCTCAAAGTATTTAATAAGATGTAAATTTTAAATATACATTTTTTATTTGCTTGTGTGAAATACTCCATCAGAGAGCAGCCTGCAAGCAGCTCTCAATGTCTTAACTAAATGAGAGAGAATCAATGATTTGCTCGGATATATACTCTGCTGTGATGCCATTTAATGTCGATTAGTCAAACGATTATTTGCTGTTATGAGTAAGCAACCCTTTTAAAACCGGAAGATGTTTTACTGCCATGTGACAATGATGACAAGTTCGGAAAGCATTGGTCATTTATCCTACCGCAGAAATGACACATGTTTACGGTGAGTAAGTGTGGTATTAGACTATAAATTTGCCTTGACATGTCAAGAAATGAAATTAAAGGTTGTTGTGAACCTATGCAAAGTACATAACATCGAAAACATTGGTTAGAGATTATACAGCAACTTCCGCCAAATCCAATATCCGCCACATATTTTCCCAAGAAGTGATTATATGAAACAAACAAACCTACTACCTCCAACCACATCTCACCCAGAACTCTCCTTTCCCGTCAGCGCCTCACACAGTGATAAAGCCGTCCTTTCCCGTCAGCGCCTCACACAGTGATAAAGCCGTCCTTTCCCGCCAGTGCCTCACACACTGATAAAGCCGTCGATATATTACGAAATAAAAAAAAAACCGCCTGCACTTAAAAGAAATATTATATTACCAGCATAACGATAAATATCTAAGCCTGAATTGAAAAAGTATAGAACAATATGCACGCAATTACACGTATGTAATGAATACAGTGTTTTTTTTCTGACAGTATCACTGATATTTTCCGTGACAATTAACAATTAGAAATTTCTCAAAAATGACTTTTACTCAGAGCTAAAATTTCGTCACAATTCATTGTGGTGTTTGTAGATGTTTATTTAAAAGCGTATGACTCACGGGATGGTTGATCGACTTTGTGGCCTGTGGGATAATACTGCGGTTACAAGTCATATCTACCCGTCTAATTCTGGTACATGTACCGACTTCGTTTTAAGTAACTTACGACTCGATCCGCTGATCACTACATTTAACTGTATGACACACTCCATTGTCCTCTTCAAACTTCACATGTTTTCGATATATTTGCCTGTACTTTGATTAAAACATATGTATAAAGTTTTAAATAAAAATCAATGTAAGATTTAGTTTAAAATCAAAAGAAACCGTAAGCAAACAAATACTGAACAAATAAAAGTTTTATTAACAATAAAATTCTCGTTCCTCGATCAAGTCAAAAGAGCATTGGACATTTAACCTCATGTGAAGATAATGCTGTATGTCTGGATCCCGGGGTCGAGGTTTGTAACGCTGTATGTCTGGATCCCTGGGTCGAGGTTTGTAATGCTGTATATCTCGATCACGGGGTCGAGGTTTGTAACGCTGTATGTCTGGATCCCGGGGTCGAGGTTTGTAATGCTGTATATCTCGATCACGGGGTCGAGGTTTGTAGTGCTGTATGTCTCGATCCATGGGTCGAGGTTTGTAATGCTGTATATCTCGATCCCGGGGTCGAGGTTTGTAATGCTGTATGTCTGGATCCCGGGGTCGAGGTTTGTAATGCTGTATATCTCGATCACGGGGTCGAGGTTTGTAATGCTGTATGTCTCGATCCATGGGTCGAGGTTTGCAATGCTGTATGTCTGGATCCCGGGATCGAGGTTTGTAATGCTGTATGTCTCGATCCATGGGTCGAGGTTTGTAATGCTGTATATCTCGATCACGGGGTCGAGGTTTGTAATGCTGTATGTCTCGATCCATGGGTCGAGGTTTGTAATGCTGTATATCTCGATCCCGGGGTCGAGGTTTGTAATGCTGTATGTCTGGATCCCGGGGTCGAGGTTTGTAATGCTGTATGTCTGGATCCCGGGGTCGAGGTTTGTAATGCTGTATGTCTGGATCCCGGGGTCGAGGTTTGTAATGCTGTATGTCTCGATCCCGGGGTCGAGGTTTGTAATGCTGTATATCTCGATCCCGGGGTCGAGGTTTGTAATGCTGTATGTCTCGATCCCGGGGTCGAGGTTTGTAATGCTGTATATCTCGATCCCGGGGTCGAGGTTTGTAATGCTGTATATCTCGATCCCGGGGTCGAGGTTTGTAATGCTGTATGTCTGGATCCCGGGGTCGAGGTTTGTAATGCTGTATCTCTCGATCCCGGGGTCGAGGTTTGTAATGCTGTATGTCTGGATCCCGGGGTCGAGGTTTGTAATGCTGTATGTCTGGATCCCGGGGTCGAGGTTTGTAATGCTGTATATCTCGAGGTTTGTATGCTGTATGTCCCCCTGGGGTCGAGGTTTGTAATGCTGTATATCTCGATCCCGGGGTCGAGGTTTGTAATGCTGTATGTCTGGATCCCGGGGTCGAGGTTTGTAATGCTGTGTGTCTCGATCCCTGGGTCGAGGTTTGTAATGCTGTATATCTCGATCCCGGGGTCGAGGTTTGTAATGCTGTATGTCTCGATCCCGGGGTCGGGGTTTGTAATGCTGTATGTCTGGATCCCGGGGTCGAGGTTTGTAATGCTGTATGTCTCGATCCCGGGGTCGAGGTTTGTAATGCTGTATGTCTGGATCCCTGGGTCGAGGTTTGTAATGCTGTATGTCTGGATCCCTGGGTCGAGGTTTGTAATGCTGTATGTCTCGATCCCGGGGTCGAGGTTTGTAATGCTGTATGTCTGGATCACGGGGTCGAGGTTTGTAATGCTGTATGTCTCGATCCATGGGTCGAGGTTTGTAATGCTGTATGTCTGGATCCCTGGGTCGAGGTTTGTAATGCCGTATGTCTGGATCCCGGGGTCGAGGTTTGTAATGCTGTATGTCTGGATCCCGGGGTCGAGGTTTGTAATGCTGTATATCTTGATCCCGGGATCGAGGTTTGTATTTATCAGGAAGGTGACATCACAGATCGACCTTTGCTGTAGTGGTTGTGTCATTGGCAAGAATATTTACCCAGAATGTTTTTGTTAGCATGCGACGGACCTCCCGTATGGTATTCTGTGTGGAGGGAACCAGCTGCTACAAGGTGACCCTGCCTCAATTTGCTTGTTTGTTGACAGGTCGATAAACTCAGCAAACAAACAAAACATTTTCAAAATAATTGTTAAAACTGAAAATACCTCTCCACACCTAGCAAGTTATTAGAGTTTTAGAAGCATTTAACAGAAAAGAGGTGTGGCACACACACACATATATATATATCTAATATGTTCGTGTTTCCAGTCAAACAGACTCCTGAGTAATTAAATGTTATTAATTAACTTCGGTGAGATTCTATCTGACATACTGTTAATCCTAGTTACCGACATCTTATCCAAATCTCGGTACCTCAATGCTACCTACACCCACGCCCCTTAAAACGAACATCCCCTCCCCCGTCTTAGCCGTGACAATTTGTCTCATGCAACGCATATCCTTCCGTATCAATAAACCATTGCTTTAGATCACCAATCCGGCGCTCTTTGAAATATATTTGCTTTAAACATTGCCTAGTCATTCAAACAGCTCTCTGCACGACGAAAAAAAAGTAGAAAGGAAAATGTACGTTGAGTAGTGATTTTACCGATTTTAAAAACATCTACATTTGTCCCAGGTTTTAAATTATTTCTAAAAATAACACTTCTATGTTCTAGTATCATCACCACAAGCCCGCGTGTGAAAACATCCGCTTGTAACATTCATTATGATATGAACGAAACTTGATATTGGATGACGCAATATCATTATTGGAACGGGAACAGACTTTTTGGTTTTGGTTTCAGTTTCAGTTTCAATTTCTACAAAATAATTTTTCTGCAAAATGCTAAAACCATGTATATATGCTGCATGAGACAGCTTATAGAAATTCAACTGCTACAAACAGGTAAAAATCATAGTGTAAAAAACTGTCTTAAAGATACGTATTAAATTGAATATGAAGAACATATGGACATGTCCTTGTCGATGTAGCCTACTTCTGTTAGAGCTGTAATGAATGTTATTCTTAAAACATTCATACCGAGGGGAAATGTTATTGTGTCTATGTTAGGACATTCCAGTGTGATGGCACTACAGAGGTGTCCCTATAGCAATGATATAACCGTGTGAGGAGGGGCCATTCTGCTGTGTCCATGTTATAATGTTTCAGTGTGACGACACTATAAATATGTCCCTATAGCAATGATATAACCAGGAGAGGAGGGGTCATTCTACTATGTTTATGTTATGACGTTTCAGTGTGATGACACTGTAAATGTGTCCCTGTCGTTGGCATAGTGTAACCGAATTAAGAGGGATGGTACTATCGTATCGAGAATATGATATTTCAGTATGACAGAAGCGTACAAAAGTGATTCCATAATCCGTGAAGACCGTCGTTTCCTTTAATATTAGCTACTGTGAGGACGTAAACAACATAAAAACAAATAACAATCATTGTTGTGTTAATGAAAAAATGAAATCATACCGATTTAATTCGAGGCGAGAACACACCACTGATTCGTCATAGTTAACTTTTACTTAAATGGAATAAAACAAAAGAATGGGCTCCATATATTAACAATCGGCTCTTTATATTAACACTGGGCTCCATACAATACCAATGGATGGTTCCTTGGTTCCTGAGATAAGATTAGAGACTATAATTAGCTATATGTACGGTACATTACATGGGAAGTGGCGTCTCCAATATTGAGAAAATATTAATATCTTAAAGCTCAAAGCGAGGCTGTAGTGATGTATGGATATAAAAATCTTACTCTGTCAGTATAAAGCAGTGTTGATGAATTCATATTGATGACGTGACTTCCAAATAAGTACATATTACGGTACATTATGATAAACATGTATGTAATGTACACCAATAAAAGGAGTATGAGACGACTTCTCGTGATTTCCTAACATCATAATACCATAAATAAGTTTTTTTAACTAGAAAATAAATCTCATAATCTTTAAACCTTAAATTCGCGTAACTAAGAAACGAATCGGACATTTTGAACCCGGAAAATCTTGAAAGAGACCAAAGCGGACCCTGGTTCCTGCCAACATTTAGAAATGTCGTCTGATCGCCTGTGTCGAGAGTTATAGATATCAGGAGTCGTATTTTATTTGACAATGAGCGTATTAACTGGACAATATCGGTTTACATTGCGGAGGGCCCCTCAGTAGTGTTTGTCTCGTGGATTGTAATTCAAATAAACGTCTCGTTATTTCACCTCTTCTTCAGCGCCGAAAATGTTTCAAGAACCGTCAGCTTTTACAAAGAACAATCTCGCATTAAGTTATCATTATTTATAAGTAATTCCGTTGACATTTTGTTTTCTGTTTAGTTTAGTTTTGTTTTTGTGTTTATTTTCATGATAACTGCACATTCTTAAAAAACTTCAGTAGTATACAACTTCTTAATATTTCATATACTTTGATAAACTGCGTATATCCTCCATTTTGATGTTACTCTCGGTATCATTTTTTATTTTATTTTATTTTTAACGTATAAATAAAACAATGTAGACTACCACTAATCACAGATATGAGAAAAAAAATCAAGAAAAGATTCAACAAAAATCATTAATTTAATACGTTAAACTTTGATAAAGCTAACTGTTCTCCGCGCCGTTCTCACACACCTGCAGTTTGCCGCTTACCGAGACATCATATTTCTCCAGGCCATGAGGCAGTGCACTTATAAAACTTATTTATCGAAATGCCGTGAAGTGCTGAGTATATCTTAACACAACGTAAATGAGGCTATTGTTATGCATCGCGTGGTACTTATATGGCGATTGGGAGTACTTAATTCATTGCCGTGGTCTTTTCAGGACACTTGAGGCACCTATCTTCAACTCTCGAAGAAATCAATGGAACTGTTTTAATTAAAAGAGTGATATAATTGAGAAAAACAATAACTTTGTTAATGAGTAGAAAGCTTCAATATTTTCCTGGTATTTTTTGTTTTTCGTTCGCTTGAATATAATTTGACTGTATATACGTTATCACTGTAGGTTTCTGTTTTATCTCGTATACATATATTCAGTTATGAAATTTAATTGCGAAACATTTGTTAATATGTTGTATGACATATATAAACATTAAAATAACAAATTTTATGTATATGTATGAAAATGATATATCACTTTACCGACAAGTCGTACATTTTACATATTAAAATTCAAGTTGAAACTAATTTCACGTCAGATCTGCTGTAGGATAGGTGTATTTCGCGGAAAGAACGGACATCTAAGTGATCTTATAGAGAAGAAAATATTTTCAGTGAATATTCTTGAAGAATTTCACAAAGGTAGAGGGGGCTTCAGAGAACGTCAGCGAACCAATTTCAAAAAAAGAATGATTAAATGCTGGGTGTATTTCCAACTATATAACGAGCTCCCGGTGAGTAATTAGTCTGAATGTAGGTCTATAAAGGTGCATCAGTGACAATGGATTACGGACTCTCCAGACGTTTTATCCGACAGTGCGAGTTTAGGTCCTCCCGGGTGGTGTCCAGCGATGTAGCCACTAGTTATGGTAAACCGTCTCAAAATGTTCCTGTTCGTTCACGGGGCGGTAAACCCGTCAGGCGGTGATCAACACCGTTAACAATGTTGACACACATCTATGCAGAAGCCGTATATTTCATAAGACACGTCGTGATTTCTCAGTTTTCCTTGCGTGTCTTCTTCCATCAAAGAACCGATTTTAAACAATTCACATCTATTTGGCTCATGCTGAGTTCAGTTCTTAATTATGCAGTTGTTTACTACGAAAATCCAATCCTCGTAATATAAGTACAAGTGAACTCTTAGACACCTCTATTGTTTAACATCCAACATAGGAAATTGCATTGGTAGAGGTGTGGTTATTTTAACTCTTCTTCGCACTGCGCAGAATTATAGGGTATAAACGGAAGTAACGAGTAAAGCGGAGAAAGTCTCAAATTACGCCGGAGAAGGTCAACTTTGACCGCTTCGAGGGAATGATCAGATAACTGTTTCACAAAGAAATTATAAAAATTCAGATATATTTGACAAAAAATATTCTTTCTTACGGAGCCCAAAGGCCATCTATGCTTATTCTTTGAATCCACCATCATTTCCCCGAAGATTTTTTACTTTCCCACCCTCCCTACTCGTTATTTCCTTTTATATCCGGTGAGAGTATATAAGATCAATAGGAAACATTCAACTAGATAACTTTGTGCTGAAGGAAAGAAAGCAACGAGCTAATGATACAGAAACTTAAATAGTGGATGATGATGTATTCAAAGTTTGTATACGGTGTTATAAAACGGGTTTAATGTAAATCAACCTGGTAGAGACGTTTCTAAACCTCTGTACAATCATAAAATATGGAAAGTCTAACTTGAGTCATTTTCCATATGTTAGTACTACCAAGCGCTTACTCCATTACCTTCGTGTGTTTAATAAAAACAAAATAAATGTCAAAATACAACACATAAACAATGATATTTACATTTGGGTCAGATAGTATTGTAAGAGATGAGAGGTATCTAGTGTAGGCGATCATCCAGAGATGGCAACAGTCGGCGATTGGGGATTTTTTATTACTTTGGTCCACGAACACGGTGTTGTAAGCAGACGCTAGAACACACGACTATCAGTAAGGCCAGGGAAATAAAAGAAAGTCTCGCGAGACTAATAAACCAATCAAACAACACACACCACTAATGACGACTGTTAATTGGCGCGTGCATGGTCAGCTTGACATTAAAGATATATTCATTCTAT